CCCCCCTTGCCCCCTTCCCTCCAGGCAGACCACCCCGGAGCCACTGCTGGCCCGGAGGCACCCATCACGTCACTTGGAATTAAAACGTCTCAATCAGGATCCCTTGAAGGTGAAGAATTATTTAACAAGTGTCGAGAAAGACGCCGCTCCAGCTGTGGAGCTTGCGGGCTTCTTGAGTAGGTGTGGTGTTGAGTGAAGCGCGAAAATAGCGGTGGGGGCTGATTGGCCAAGTTAGCAGGAAGATGCACGCAAGAAAAAAAGTATTCGACTCTTACTGTAGTTCAGTTTTGAAAGCACCCATCAGATAAAATAAGTTAATTTTGTCGGCTAAGTTGTTTAGCACCAGTGCGCAGTTTTTCGTTGAACCGTCTATGACCATGGACAGTGGACCTTAACTTCCAGCTTTAGCTACAGGTGTAAAAGTGCCATGGTAGCACGAAACTGTCTTTTTTTCTTCTTTTTTTTTTTTTGTTTCTTTGTGGTCTTACGTGTAGTAGAGCTCGCATTGCAGTGCTTCGGGTTTGCCTAGCCTCTCGTAGGGCCGCAGGCCCAAGGCGCAGGGGCGAGTATGCAAACCCGCTGCACTTCGATGTGTGCTCTGCTCTGCTCTGCTCTGCTTAAATATTGCGACCTTGCGGTCCGCGTGTCCAGTCCAGACCGGCAGCGGTCCAGCCTCCCACACAGCACTGCGGTTGGAGGGTAGAGTGGCTAACGCTAGGAATAGCAGTGAGAGCAGCAGCGGTGCTCAGCACGAGATGTGCTCTCGCTGAGTACCCCGCCCCCTTTTGGGCGGCGGCATCGCTCCCCCCCCCCCTCTCTCTCTCTCTCTCTCTCTCCCTCTCCTGCCTCAGTCCTTCGTCGTCCACGAGACTCTGCCCCACATTGCCGTGCCGCTAACACTTTGATAATAACGCATCAACAGGTCTGCTGCATCTTGTGCACGCCCTACTCCCCCCCCCCCCTTTTTCCTGAACAAGGGTCAACAAAAAGTCACCAAGTTTCCTGAAAGGAGTCGGTCGCAACTGGGCCGGACAAAATCTTTGGATATTTCAAGTCTAGAAAAGGCCTTTTTAGGTTAGGTAAGAAAAATACTGTTTAAACCAAAAAGTATAGTGGTCGATAACCGAGGATGGTCTATATTAGCATCTATCATGTGGACGAAACGCTAGTGCGGAACAGGACACAGCAGTCTCGGCCCCCCGTCGTCGAGGTGAGGGGTCGCGTCCCAGGAACGCGTTCTGCTCGTTCCGATTTGCCGACGCAGCCGCGTGGTGGACATCTGTTGCCGGCCGCGGGGCCTAGAAGGGCCTATTCACACACTCCAATTAGACAGCTGCGTCGGATACGCGGCCCGTCCGACGACCTCTGCGTGCGCAAATGTCCGGACGGCCACACTGGAAACGCAAGTGTATGAATGTCGCGCACGCGCACTTGTGGCATGTGATCTACATTCGCACAGATAGGTGCTCAAGTGTGGGAAAAGGTGCGCAAGTGTGTGAGGGAAAATTCCCACCTATACTATCCCAAGTGTACAAATGGCCAATCACACTCCTCCAAGTGTGTGGCATGCATACACGTGGGTTTCCGGTGCAGCTGACCCCACTCTCACTCCGTGTTTCTGTTGCAGCCCCACGCAGCCTCCTCCGGACCTGGCGTTCATGGAGCGGCCGTAGGCCCCGCGCCCCCCGCGGGTATGGCGCCGCATCCGCACGGCGCCTGTCACCGGAACGTCCCGCTGACGCCGGCATCTCCGCCCGCTACTCGAGCTCCCCGCCGAGCCCCACCCAGGCCGTCCTAGCCAGTCCGAGAGGATGTGCCCGCCCGGGGGGCTGCCGGCGGCGCTGCTGGCCGGGCTGGCCCTGCTGTGCACGGCGGTAGCGGTGGCCACTCAGGGTAAGGACCGCAATTGCACTGCATAGCGTTTTTTACACGTTTGTTACACGTTTGTCACACGTTGCCCAGCATGCCTCTCTGGCGTTTTCGCGTGGTATTATAGAGTCGGGCCTGAGACCTGGTAGTGCGGCAGCCATCTGTCGGGACGCGCTCAGAGAGGGCAGAGGGGAGGGAGGGGGATACGCACGCACACACACACACACACACACACACACACACACACACACTCTCGCACACACACTTTAGTAGCGTTCTGGGTGTTCTGGTCCGAGCCCGTGTGTGTCGTCCCGATCATACTAGCGTAAACTGCAGACCAGGCTGGGTTCCTGCATCTGAGCGAGAGGAGAGAGAGAGAGAGAGAGAGAGAGAGAGAGAGAGAGAGAGAGAGAGAGAGACGCGTGGATCGCATCGCGGCGGCAGGATGTGTACAGTCCAGCCCGCCGCTGTAGGGAAATGAAATGATTACATTATTCGCACCACCCTAATCCCCTTTCCTCCCGTCCTGCCGAGTGAGTATAACTTTACGAAACTCCTTCAGCCCCCAGCGCAGTCTGCTTCGTCACGTGTTTCACTCTGTGCATAACTGATTCATTGTTCAGAGAACGTGTTCGCGATGTGTAAGGACGTGATGTTCACGTTAATCCACACGCCCTTTACTCGATGTGAACTCCATTTAATCGCCTTTTATCACCTTTAGGATGTCGCACGCCTTGGTGCGCACGTTTCTGCAAATCTTTGGAATGTAGAGCTCGACCACGTGTTGGCGACAGGCTGCTGGTCGTGCCGCTGCCCGGCTGGGCTGATCGCCGAGTAATTGTCCGGATTAGAGCGAAGGGGGGTGGGGTGGGGGCATGCCGGACGGTTCTCACACTGGCGGCTCGGCACAGAGGCATTCAGGGGCCGCGACAGGCATGACATCACTCACTGCACACAGTCTTACATCCTTGACTGCAGCGTTGCGCTTTTTCTACCTGATTTGGCAGCTTTTTCAATCAACTGCTGCGAATGCTATGATCCATGTACCAGGTGGTTGACTCACGCAGCGCACTTTCGTAGTTCTACTGTACCGCATGCGCGAGTGCGGGCGTGTTGCCTACTCGCACGGGGCTTTTAGGAGCCGTGGGAAGCGAAAGTAGGCAAACACGCCCGTACCCGCGCATGCGGTACAGCATCACTACGAAAGTGCGCGGTGCGCGGCGTTAGTCGGCCACCTGGTATGTTGCCTTTGTCAGGTGTCTTGTTGAGAAGCGAGGGTAGACGCATACGCACACTGTTTGATGACTGTCGACCTAGGAGGCACACACTTGCTTCTTGTGTGTGCACGGTCGACTGTTGGAATTTCAAAATACCTGCTTTTTCGAACTCCATTTCCTTTATTTCTAATTTTATGATATTATATGAAGATTCTACTCTGTTAAGAGGGACCTTTGGATATTAAAAAGTACCCGATCAGGTTCTGCTTTTTACAGCAGTTGTAGCTGTTGAGGCTACCGGTCGGTAAATCTCTCCCGGGTGCGGCGGTAACCTCCTCCGCCTTCGCCGGGAGCGCAACACTTACCGGTGGGTGACGTCCGTCGCACTGCAAATCACGGTAGTCGATGACTAAGCCGCGGCAGTGTTTAGCGCATTAACATGATTTACTCTCGCTACATTGTTACCCGATATTGTTTCTGGTCTTGGAGATATTTACCCTGTAAAAGTTTTTGACCGGCGCTTTCTCTTTGCAACCTACCCTTCCCAATGTCCCATGTTTTTCAGAAAACTCAGCTATGAAAAATCTAGTGCATACCACTGCTCTAGGGCATACCACTGCTCTGTTGCAAGGGGACTCTCCAGTTGCAAGGGCCTTGTTGCGGCAGCGCATGAAACTGACCTACAGTCAGATATTCAGAGCGTAAAACTGATCGATATGCCCATATTTGAATCATTTCGAACATACGTAACTGAACTAAACGAAAGAATTGTGTTTGGAATAAATCACTTTGAGTTTCGAAGAGCGCACGCGTACTTCCGCTACTGCGGAGCGCCGGAAGTGAGGCAGGCCCTAGACTGCTAATAATCTATTTATGATCGCTCTTCCGGTTCCACCGAGCTGCATCAGGACGCATCGACACGGTGCGGACCCGCCCCGCGGCGATTCAAACGAACCTAGAACGATTTGTATTAGTCTCTTGAGTAGACTAGGGGAAGATATTCTCCCAGGCAACTGCATGCGGTTCAGCGGTTCCGGCAGACCCTTGCGCGCAGCGGTTGCCTCCTCCTCTCCTGGACCCGTTTCCCTGTTTGAAACACGCGCCGCCCTGCGGTGCCGCGCTGCGGTGCGCCTCCCTAGTCGTAACTCTCTGATATGTCAGCCGTCAGACTTTAGCCAGGCGGCCGGCGGGCCCCTTGCGAGCTCTGCAGCACCCCTGCCCTCCGCCCGCCCTGGCATCACACGCTGAGTGTCTCAGAGTCAAAAATAAGACCTCTGAAAATTTTGGCCACGTGTTCCAGCGGGACTGGGTGGCGGCCTCGGCCTCGGCCCCGGCCCAATCCATAATTATCCACGAGCCCTCTGGGCACAATTTTTCATCCGCAGCGTGGAACGCGATACGAGTCCGTTTCTGTTTTTGCGGGCGCCGACGACGCGACGGGCGGCTGCTTCTTGTCATAGGGTTTTCTGTTGTTGTTTTTTTGCTTTCTTTGATTTTGCTGCTGTCGCCGGCAACGCAACAGAGTTTCTAACTTAGAGATATACTCGCACGGGCCCGAAGGTGCCTCCATGAGCGCACACTTGCACTCGGTACAGTAACCAGAAGAGAGAACGGTGCCGATTGGACCTTTGAATGAGATTCATTGATCTCTCCGTTGATCTTGTTGATAATTATTTTATCGTGTAGTTCGGTCTGTCGATCCCGTGGAGTTTTAGCAGTGCAAAGACGCCAGGGCAGTTGCCCCCTGCGGTGGCACACGACACGACGTGCGCGCGAATATTAAAAGCTTCGGGGTCAGTTTGACGAGACGACCTGCCGTAAAGGACGGACTACACTTGCTCCAACTCTAACTTCAATGAGAGCTGACGACTGCTAGATTCGTAGTGAACAGGAGCCACCCGTCGTACACTTGCAGTGGGCCTTTTTTCTCCGACCTGACTTTTATCGGAGCAAAATTCTTTTGAACAATTTTAGAAAACGAGTTTTTCAGTATATTTTGGGGTGTGCTTTTTCCCACCCGACTTTTGTCTGGTTAATGTGCAGGCAAGCTTGGGACCGGCCTTGCCGCCTTGTCAGCAGCTCTTTAAGTTTTGCGGTCTCGGAGTGACCATAGGAGGTGGAACCTTAAATAGGGTTGCTCGAAGGAACCATCAAACGGTGGGACGCGTACACACTAACTGGATTTGTTACTTTTTTTTGTGCACATCATTCGCACAACTAGGTTTGTGCGCGAATTAAAGTCCTGTGAAAAACTAATGAACAGCATCGTCGACTATGCGGTACCCTCTGGTGTGCTGTGCTTGCACTGGTGTGATGCGGTGCTGACCACACATGCTCTGACAGTGCAGTGCGATGCGCTGCTGACCACACATGGCGGGGCGGGTATGGGATGCTGGGCAGGAGATAAAAACTCGTGCTGAATGGAGCCATTCACTACTGGCCGTGCGGTTCGGCCGCCCTGCCCTGACCCTCCTCAATGCACCGCCCCGCCCCAGGCCCCGGGCGCTGCCCCGCCTCGCCACAGGCGCCACGCCCCTGACTGATAATAACAGCAATAAGCTTCCCTTTATACTCAGGTGAGGCTGAACTGGGGCCCGTTGGGTGGAGTAATTAAAGCAGGCGGGGATCTTGCCACAAAATGTTCACGCTTCTGCGCGGAGTTTTGTGTTGGAGTTGGAATACATGTAAAAGTTCAAAACACTGAAAATGCCAACAACATTTCTAAAAAATTTCTTGCGTGTTGCTGAAGAGTATTTTTTTTCGTGTAAAACTTCTCTAGTCTTAAAAATATTTTTCCCACTGGCCTGGTCAGGTGACAGTTGTGCCGCTGATGATCGGCGGCCGCTGTGACCGCATACCGCGCACCGTCCGTAGTAGAGTTGTGAACAGCAAGTGTCAGAAAGTGATGTTGTGTTCCAGACGCCGGCATCACGGTGGAGGGCATGGTGGACGCGGGCGGGGTGCGCCGCCGGTACTCGTGCCCGGCGCGCTTCATCCGCATGGGCAACTCGTGCTACTTCATGTCCACGCTCATGGCGTCCTGGCACGACGCGCACTTCAAGTGCCGCAGCATGGGCGCGCAGCTCGCCGCCTTCGAGAAGCGCTGGGAGAACCGCAACATGCGCAAGTACCTCATGCGCGAGGAGCTCAGTGAGTATGATACGACGCTCAAAATTTTGAGCGAGGGGTACACAATACACACTTTCACAGGTATTCGCCTAGAGACTAGGAATTACTAAGAAAAAATGCAAGATCCTCGGCAAGATCTAATCCACAACTTTGGAAAAATAATGAGTTTTAGTTGTTGTAATGTTCCGATGAAGTTTACCATATTTTTTGCCAAAAAACATTGAAGACTTTAGATGGTTCTATAAAACATCTTTACTATATAGCCTACAGCTGTCGCCCGTTCTCGTTTCTCGTATTCATTCCGCGTCATCGGAATCTGCGCCGTGATCCATTCTCCTTTCTCCGATAAATACGTAATATATTCACACCAGCCAGCACGTCCCCGAGACGAGTAAGGCTGTCTGCCCCTCGGGTGCAGTTACATGCAGTACCCACCCGCCGCCTCGTGCCCTGCTCTTTGCTCCGTGCCGGTGCGCGGGGTACTGACGGGCACCCTCCACGCCCCGCGAGGAGTACTACCGACGCGTCGTAGCGCGGGGTATCTACCGGCGCATGCCTTCGCTGACGCGAGCGGACAATGCCATGACGTGTGAATGGATAAATGAATGTGGATGAATGAATGGATGGATGTTGACGCCTCGAGCGCTTTCGGCGCTGTCACCGTGTCTGTCAAAGTGTGTATAAAGCTCCTCGTGTGTTCTCCCAAGCGCCGCTGTCGCGCTGGATCGGCGGCATCTACCAGTGGGAGAAGCGCTTCTGGATGTGGGGCAGCACGGGCCTGGCCGTGGGCTACAAGGCTTTCCCGCGGCGCATGGTGACGCGCGACTGGACCTGGCACTGCATCTCTCTGGACCCGACGGCCGACTACCAGTGGCGGCCGGCCAGCTGCCTCGACGCCAAGCATTACATCTGCGAGACGCCGCTGCGGCGCAACAGGACGCGGGGCCCCGGCAAACAGAACAAGGTGAGCCTGGACTGTCACTGTCACCCTGGGCGGAGTGCCCTCGGGGCGGGCAGGCAGGCAGCACTTAAAGCACACCGGTGGTCTTCTGCAGGGCCAGCAGCGCGAGCCCGGGCAGGACGACCTGGACAAGAAGGGCCACGCCGGGAGGCACAACCCACCGCAGCACCGGGACCGGGACAGCGCCAACGTAACGGCGGTCACGGCCTCGGGCCGCAGGCTGGACGCCACCATCACCCGCAAGCCTGCGACGTTCTCGAGGAACCGGACGGCGCACCGGAGGACGTACGGCGGGCAACGCCACGGCCACCGCGGCTACCGGCCGCCGCCGCCGCCACCCGCGCCCGGCCACCAGGGGCGGCCGGCGGCGTGGCCGGGGACGGGCCCGGGCGCCGCGGGGGCCGCCAGCCACCACTTCCCGCACCGCCTGGCCTACAACGCGTACGACGTGGTGCCGGCCAGAGCCCCCGACAGGGCGCGAGGGCCCTCGCAGGTGAGCCCCCATGTGCCTCCGCGCCCCAGCGAGCAGCAGGCAAGGTGACGGTGACGAGCTCTTTTTCCTGTCGGCAGGGAGCGCCCAGGCTCAGCACCTCGGCCAGGATCTCGTTCAGGACGGAGCCCCGCGGCCAGCAGCCGCCTGGACAGCCGCCGCCCCTTGTGATCCCGGACATGACGGTGCAGTCGCTGTACCCGCCACGGCAAAAGGCTCGCGCCGAGAACAACGATTTCTCGAATGACGTGTAGCGCCAGCCGGGCCCGCCCCGCCAGGACAGCATCGAGCCGACTATTGCGGCGCAATAAGACGTCCCATACGACGCATCGAAGCATTATTGCTTTACCGCCACTTTTTCTCGGCCGGAATAAGGCTAAACTTTTATCACACCCAGATTGTTAATTTAAACTAATTGTTATTTCTTACTTTCGTCCTAAGGGTCTTTTCCCCGAAGAACATATACGCTTCTGTGCATAATCTGTTTTCTATAATTATTATGTCACGTGACTCTCCCTTCGCTCAATAAAGCTTTACATTTTCTAAACCCTCTCTGTGCCGTTCATCTGCCATCAGCCGGGCTCTTCCTCCCCCTCTTTCTGATGGCTAAAGCTTTCCGTGGGTGAAAAAAAGGGGTGAATTTTTTAATCAGGGTCTGTTGCAACAGAACTTAATAGTTCTAGCGTGCAGCGCCGGAAAGTCCATATTAGGACAGCTATTAAAACTGACATCGCGTCCTTTTACTGCCGACCGACCAACCCCGTTCCGCTGAGCCAGCGCGGGCTGCGGGGGCGGTGACCCCCGGACCGGACCCCCGGACCGGCCCCCCGGCCAGCCGTGGGGGCCGGGACGACTTCCGAACCGGCCGAACACGTACGGGGTAATGCCCGGCTGGTGCGGTATAGCACAGCCCATAATATGGTGTCTGCGTCTTCCAGAATTGTTGCCCCCTAAAACCCGCCACATTTGCCCCCTCCCCTCCGCCCCATATTTTTCTCCCCCTTTCTAATCTCTCTTTCGCACACACGGACACACACACACTCTACATTCTCTATCTTTGAGAAAATAAATGCAAATGGCAGCGAGGAAGTATGCTGTGTTTACTACGAAGCGGTCGTCTGAACAGGAAGAGACTTAAATGCGGAAACCTCGCTAACCGCGTGTAGTGGAAAAGCAGCAAGTAACGTGTTTTCAGGCACTGAGCCAGCCGTTTGTAAAACAGTAACTTGGATACGCCTCGGGCGGGCAGACGTCAAGTTACCGGTCATAATTTGCATTTTTAGACCGAATGACTTACTTCACCGCCTGCTTTCAAGCGTGCGTGTGGCTCACGCTGCGCACTCCTGCGCCAGACAGCCACACGTCACACGGTGTCTCTGTGACTCGCCCATGAAGTGCGATCGAAGACCTCGGGTGACCCCCCGTGTAGGGTTGCGAAATTACCGGTAACAATCAATGTTACCGTAAATTACGGTAAAATTGGTAATTTACCGGAAATTATGGAAAAATTGGAAAAATTCAATTTCTAGGAGAAAAATTGGCAATGTACTATTTATTGGCGATCGAAATCAGTGTGTACTGCTTAAAAAGTGGCGGAATATCCGGTATTAGCTATATCTATTGGAATATTTGTCCTTTTTTATCTTGTTTTCATAAACATCAGTTGTATGTTAAGTACACCTACAAAAATCGTTATCTTAAGCTATCCCTTTTAAACTTTAGAATATGACACATTTGCTATCAGGTCTCTAGGAAGTAACTTAAAAGGTAAAAATATGTCAAATTTACTATTCCAAATGTGATTTTTGCTTCTGGAAAGAGAGCTTTTGACTCATTTTAAAGTGTTATCATTACCGTTTTTTCCCACGTTACCGAGCATTTGGTTAATTACCGTAAATTACCAATTTTCCCGGTAACGTTACCGGTAACATTACCGGCCGTCGCAACCCTACCCCCGTGGGCTAACGGATTGTGCCTTTGCTCAAAATACCAGGTGGTTGATTCACGCCGCGCACTTTCGTAGTTATACTGTACCGCATGCACGCGTGCTGGCGGGTTGCTTACTCGCACGGGGCCGTAAGGAGCCGTACGCAGCGAGCATAGGCAAACCAGCCCGCACGCGTACATGCGGCGCAGTACAACTACGAAAGTGCGCGACGTGAATCTGCCACCTGGTAGAGTGGGAGTGGTTAGAACGTTCTGTGAGCTAGGCGAGCTCACGCGTGAGTCGGTGAGCTAACCAATCGCACTCCTGGCCGCATTGTCAGCGCCACCCCTGTGTGCCACTGCCACCGCCGCCCAGCCCGGCCCGGCGCGGCGGGGCGGCGCTTCCAAGGCGGTTGTTGTTGGCGGCGCGCGGCGCGTGTGGCGTGTGGCGGCGGCGTGCGGCGCGGCCGTGTGTTTGGCTGCTTTGGGCTGTTTGGGCTCCTCGCTCGGGCGGCTCGGCCGGGTGGGTCGGTGGTGGGGGCGGAGGAAGCGTAGGGGTGGTTGCGGGGCGTCGCTCCGCGGCGTGGCCAGGGGACTGGCCAGGCCGGGCGCGGCTGGAGGGTGGACTCTGAGCGCGGCTCGCCGCGAGGCTACACGTGCGTCACAGGGGTCGGACGCGTCGGACTCAACTCCAGCGCGGCCCGCGCACGGCGCACGGCCACCACCGGCCTCCACTGGCGGCAGCCGGCGTCAGCCCGCCGCAGCCCGTCGGCACTAGCAGCAGCATGGCCGGCGACTCCAACGCGGAGATACCCGGTAAGCACGCACCGCACAACCACAACAGAAGCAACCGTTCTCGAGAGCTGTAACAATCAGGGGAATAATCAGAATGATGGAAACAACTGCTTGCTCTACTCACGTAAAGCTTGTCACTATGTCATTAGCCTAACACGGTGCTCCGATGGGGTGACAGCGCGCTTTCTGTGCCTGTGAGGTTCTAGTTTAGCTCCATCACCATAAAACGGAATCAAACTGAAAGTGGCAGAGATGCCAACAAAGACGTGCCCTTTCCAAACATCCTTCACGAGTAAAATTACTTGAACCTAATTTGAGTCTGCTGGTTTGTGTCAGAGAGCGGGGCGGTGTTCACCTTCGGCCGCAGCCGCTTCGCCAACAACGCGGCCAGCCATTTCTTCATCCGCAACGACCCCGTCGTGGAGATGAGCTGCGGAGACGAGCACACGGCCGTGGTCTGCCGTGAGTAGCTGCGCTGAACTCTGCCCTGCCAACCACACTGGAAACCCAGATGGCAATTTAAACGTGCAACAAAAGTTTAAACTGCAAAACCAAAAGTTTATACAGTTCAAACCGGCAAACTAGCCGAATAGTGATGCAGTTTAAACAGTGAAACTTTTATTTTTGCGGTTTTGACTGTAACACGTTTTACATTTTCAGATAAAACTGTCATCTCGATATGCGGTTAGATTTAAGAGTGTCCTCTCTCCGACTTGTGCTCAACTCCACACGTTTGCTGCCCACTTGGAACCGCTGCCCTACACCTATTCGCAGACCTACGTGACATGTCGGACTATTACTCTGATATAAAACAAACACTCTTTTCTAATTCGAGACAACTAAATTTACCAACCACTGCAGAATGCATCATTGACAACAGCGCTTTCATCACGACAGTGAAGTTTCGCCCCTGACGCGCGGCCGTCTCGCCTAATGTTTTTTAGATCACCGCTGCCCGCCTTGCCTGGGCCCCAAATGGCACCGACCCCGCGATCCATACGTGACTCGCCCTGACCTGGGGCATGCGCTCGTGTCCACGCGTGTCCGGGGAAAGAGGGCAAGGGGAGGGCAGTCGTCAAACTTTCAGAAACCTAATTAAAGGCGTCTTATATATTTCTTTTGCCGTGCCTCTTTCAGTCTGGGCTCCAGATAATTGAAAAGTGTCGGAAGTGCTGAGTTTGTTCTGAAGTTCGGCGACACCTCATGCCCTTTGCGCGAGTGTGATATCGAGCCAACTGGATTTTCTGATTGGAGGCGTGTGATTCTCATAGTGACGTCTCTGGCTTGTGTTGTGAGACCCACTGCGATCAGACCTGGGCGCACAATAGTCTCCATAGCAGCCGAGACCATGTTGATGGGGGAGGTCGCCTACTCACGTCTAAGGTGGAAGGGGTGGTTGGGGGTGGTTGGGGTGGGCGCGAGTGTTTGGGGGAGGCGCGGTGCGTCCTGCACGTGGCAGAGGTATGCCCCCCTCCCCCTACTTC